GTTCTGTGAATAGCCAATAGATGCTCGCGTTTTCAAAGCCGTAAGCTCTATATGCACAATGAAAAGAACTCGTAATATTATATTCGGCCTGAATAGCATTAGCGGAGGAAGAGTTGAGTTGTCGGCGTAACTCAATTGCGTTAGCGCAATAATAACTTTGGTATCAGCTCAGAGGCGCAGGCCATTGCTTCAGCGCAATAATGCAAGGCAGTCAGTGTTGTCCTACCTATATTTTTTCGAGCGAGCGATCCTATCAAAAACGAGCGAGATTTTATTTAAAAGAGTGAGATTTTTTATGTTGAAATAAAACAATCAATATTACTACATTAACTTACGTTAATCAGAAATTAAAATGTTTGAATAAAATTACAACAAAGATAACTTAGTTTTGGGCGGTATACTATAAGGCAATTACGTAAACTTTGAAAATGGTCTATACTACAAGAATAGAATAGTCAAACTTCAATAGATTATAGGTACAATTCCATAGTTTTTGTTAGTAGGTTTTTATGAATTTTAAATTTAAATAAAAACTTCTGAAGAAATTAAAAATTCAATTCTTGTCTTGTTATTATCTCGCCATTCGATAATGTTTCCACGATTCCGACTCGACTGTCAATCGGTATCTAAGGCAGGTTAGGCAACCCTCTCTATTTCTCTGAGGCAACCAAGTTAAATTATTACACAAATTGTTTAAATATCAAATTTCAAATTACTTTTTGTTGTAAAAAAATTTATAATTTGCCATTTTTAAACAAGCGGCATCGTAAATTACAAATTTCCTTACACCAAAAAGTAATTTGAATTTGAAACTAAGTCCATTTTATAGAAAATCTATGTTAAAATGGGGGAAAGTATGTTATTTGTGCATTAATTCATACTTAGACAAACTATGTAATAAAATCTATAAAAATGTATTGATGGTTGCCTATTTACCATAGGACAAGGGAAGGGTACTAAAACGAGCGAGATTTGACAAAGAGCGATAGAGTGAATTCGATATTTTGCTCAATTGAGCGTGCTGTGGCAACGCTGAACGCAGTACTGAGTTACCCATCTCTACAACATGTGGTGCTCTTAAACTTCATATAGCATCTCCTACTCCTATTTCCTATTCTCCTGTTCCGGCAGATGCAGTCACAACTTATCACAGTTTGAGTAGCGTGCATGTAGAAATTATTAATTTATGACATAAAGTATAAAAATGTCAATGAAAAAGGAAACTAATAGTGTTTGTATATGTATATAGGTATTTTTATATTATCAATAATTCAAAAGCGAAATGTGATATTTGCAATGCTGAACTTTCCTATAAAGGAAAATATACATCGAATTTTACATTTTTATCGATACATCAAATTATACAAAGTATAAATTGACCCCCGTTACAATGATGGCGCCATCTGCAATTAAAAATATTTACTTATCATCAATTGTAACAAATTCCAAACAAATGTAACAAATTATTGTGCTTCATAAAAATAAATATGCTAACTTTTATTTTTCAAGAATATAAATATTTTTAGGAAGCCAACGATATTCCCGTGAATAAAAAGTTTGTTTGTACCTTAGTTTACAGATAAATAAAGAATAAAACAAATTGGTTTGATAAATATAATATATTAATATTATTATTGTGGTCATTTTTACATAAACTGTACATAGATTAAATTATACAAAAAAATGAAAGATTTATAATTAAAGAGGAGAAATTAAATATTTTAATTAACTAAGACATTCACATCACACTACTAAAAATAACTTCAAGGAAACTAATTTATACCTTATTTAACAAAAAATACACTTTGGTTCAAATAGTATGTAATACCATATCAAAATACGGTCTCCGCCGGTCGATTCTGACGAACCGGACCGGCAGTCAAGGAAATATCACAAAAACACATCTTAAAAAAAATTACTGACGTAAGAGAGCTACATTAAACAATACTTGTAAAATAAATTAACGTGAGATTTTATAGAATAAATAGTTATTAAATAGAAACATCTGAAGTTCCTTGCGGGGCCACAATTCCGATTCACACACACAACCTTGTACGGTATTTCATTGACTCAGGAATTACTTTAAAGGAAGCGATATTTGAAGTCTAACATTGGAAGCGACTTTTCAAAAAACGAATATATTTGGCTTCGAGGAATTGTATGGCCCCGATGTTGCAATAGTCGAGAAGTGAAATTTTACCATCAAAGGGCAGTTCTCGGAGTTAAGCCCAATACCATGTTAAGCAAATACGAAAACGTAGAGAAGGTACATAAACATCGTTTATTTTTCAAAATTTCGAGTTTCAAAGCAAAAATTCATATGAAACACGAAACTGCGAGATTCAGAATGAAATTTTAAGTTTGGACTTTAAATTTCATTGTTTGAACTCGAGCACTTGAGTTTGAACCTGAAATTTCATGTTCGAGTTTTAACGTTTTCGAATTTCTGCTTAAATACAAAAAAAAAACTAATAATTTAAATTTAAAAGTTGAAACTGCACTCAAACTCAAAATTTCATGTTTAAAAAACATTTGGTTTTTCTGCGTTTTCTATATATTTTTATATGTACCAATCTTGCTCATAATAACACCGTCTTATGGGAAATCATTTGAATTTAAATAAAGTCATTATTCAGAACTTCGCATCTAAGGAATATGTACAGGATCTACAATATAAGCTTATTTTCCTTATATCGGGTTAATACAAACTGATTTAAAGTAGAGTTACATCATCATAAGTCGAGAACAGATTGCTCGCAATTGTCTATAGTGCGTTATCATCGAAGATATGTTTCTACGTTTTACTCTGCACTTAATGTACCTTGACATTAACATTCAGACTTTTTACTTTAATTGGATAGGTATATGCTGGTTTTAAAGAAATTTTTCATAAATTAAGTTGAAATTTTAAAGATAAAGTAAAACTATCATCTGACGATATTTCGAGCAAGGAATCAACTTCAAAAAACTTACATTATTAGCTGATTTAGTTTAGTTCTAATAATATATACACGTCAACGTTTTAATGGGATAAAAACGTTTCGGTGTTATTTTACATCATCCTTAGGGCTCTAAAATACAATGTTTTTTATAAAATTCGTTGTTTGTATTTTAGAACCCTGAGGATGGTGTAAAATAACACCGAAACGTTGGCAATGATTTAAAATATAGTGTTCTTTTATTTATTGATCTTTATCCCACTAAAACCTTGACTTGGATAACTAATAAAGATCGCTAAACAGTGGAAACGTAATTCTAATAATATTACAAGATCCTATGAAATCTTTCCGAAAACTCAATATTAATGGAGTTAAATAATTTTAGAGAATTTTTTTTTAAATTAAATAGATGTATTTATTTTTGCAGATAAACAATTTTTTTCAAATTTGGAACACAAGATAAATGGTCCTAACGGAAATATATCTTATTAAAGATTATTAAAAAATCTTACAAAAAGTTCTGTTGTTCCAAGTTGACGATATTTAAATCTTAAAAAAACATGATTTGACATTCAGAAGTATCGTTACGGAGGTTTATCTGATTTGGAAGTGACAAATAAATATTCAAAAAAAAAATTAATATAAGCCTATTAATATGAAGAAAATCCTCAAAAAAAAATTATGACTAGTTTGGACACCTAAGAAACGAGAAATTAATAAAATAATTTTTCACGATTTAGTACGAAGTCTTATGAGAATGCAGATTTTTTTGGTCTTTGCACTTAGAATCCGCAACAATTAACGAACAGTTTCCACAGCAACTTGTATAAATAGGAAACCGATATCTAAGGAACCAATTAGGTATTTGTAAGAAACATAATTTATAATAATTTTCCCTCAAACTGCTGTCGTTGACTAACTTAACCTCCATTATGCGTGGTAGCGGTTCTCAACGTAGCGTATTATTTGAAATTTGCTGGTGTGACATATGATGTATATTTCAAGCTTAGGCATCCAAACAAACAGAATGATCGAACGCGAGCAAGCAAACGTAGAGCCGAGCGCGCCACCCAAGTGATAACTTTTTCTGGTGTGCATGGTGTGATAGCAATAAGTGTTATTTATACCAATTTAATGAAAAAGTTAATTTATAAAAATTTTGTAATAATTTGAATTTTCTGAAGTGTTGTAGGAACTCGTCCCGTTAGTTTTACGAGCAGAATCTCTTCCTCATTTTTGCACTCTATTTGTGGTCACTTTATTTATTGAATATCAGAGAAAGAAACGATTAAAATTTTATCTATTAGCAGACGTAGAAGTAGCAGATTCGTCGAGATCCCTAAAACTTAATTCGTGTGTTTCAAGCCAACAAAACCACAACAAAAATCTTTTTAGAACATTGCTTGTCAATAACATCTGCGATATGTGATTTTCTGAAGTCTTTTCTTTAATAACTGCCGTCAAATGAGTCTAATATATCAGTTTTATCAATTTATAATGAAAACGCCATTTTCGTTTAAAATAGCAGCAAAATAATTCGGTTTTAGTGTTAATTTATTTACTTGTCCTTGGTTTTGATTGTCTTTTCTCTAGTATTGCTAATTCATTCATAAAATTATGAGTGGAAAACATTTTTTTGATAAAAAACAATACACCACAACACCGTGTCATGCTATTGCCACCAAACGGAAGTGTTGACCCAAACGACTCTACTTTGTAACTCATAATAAGCAATTTTAATATTGCTTAACACCTTTGGAATAACCCGTGGTGCAAATATAGTATGGTGTGTTCGTCAGCTGGTTCAGTATCATCCTATCACCACATGACATTAGTAACAAGATGCACACTTTCTTTTTGATACATAGACTTCATAAACGATAACGAGGCACGTGAACAGTAACTTTGTTTCCTTCATGTTGGCAATTAAATTTCGGTATGCTACGGTAAGATTACATTAAAACACAATTTTTTTTTACCGGCTCGTGATTGTTGTAATTTTTAATGAGATTCTATTCAACCAAACAGCTATCGCGTTATCTCGAGTGTAGGTGCAACAGTTTGCCATTGTTCATTGTAAACGAATCAATAATATTGATGACGCTGAGATTTAAGGACTTTTAATTGATAGTGCCAGTCGTGTAATGTTGATTGCCTAAGCTCGCCAATCACGTGGCTTGTAATCATTTTTAAAATAGACAATTTAAGTTGATCGAACTTAAGTATGTAGTCTAAATATGAACCTAACCTTAAATATCATGTTACGTTTGAGGTTTAAGGAAGCGTTGTCTGTTTTGTACAACACAATGATGAGAAAATTTTTAGGCTGCAACGACTTGGGGAAATGTGGCAATTATTAGAAAAATTACAGAAAACTGTTGCATTTCCATGCCGATATATCCTTTGAATGTGCCAGTCTCGTTAGCGGCGTCGTCACATGAAATAAGAACACCATACTACGAAATAAACAATCACAAGACTTGGTAATACGGATTCCTATTTATTTTCAATGCTTTGAGCTGATTCCCCTCGTCCTGGTGGAAAACGAGGTGATAACCGTATCTCACATCAATGTAAACTAAATAGTGAAAGCTTCAGTGTGAGAAAGATACTGTCTGCTGGATAATGCAAAAACTGGAGCAAATTTAATTGTTTCAAAAGTAATAAACAATTAATTACATATAATTTGTAACACGCATAGAGTAAAACGGCCTACACACGTAACGATTTATTGTACTACATGCAGAGCGATATTGGTCGAAACTGTTGCAGTAACGATAAATCGTACCATTTGTAGGCAAATTGGATGCTCTGCAGTACGTAGTCGTCGAATCGTTCGCAGTCAGGAGCTTCCATAAAAATCGTATCAACAGTCGTGCTTGAACGCAAGTTGAAACGTGTAAACTTATGACTGCGACAGTTATGAATGTTAAGTGTATTGTTGTTGTTAGGCAGTTATTGTGATTTTAAAATCAAATTGTTACGTGTGTAGGCTGTCTAAGGGAAGCAATGCTGCCGTTGCTTCCACAGAGCACACCCCCCCAATTTAAAACCTTGCTTGCTTGGTTCTAAATTACGACTTCTTTTTCACGTTCTTATTTTAGAAATATTCTTGATTAAAAAGTTATGTTTTAATCATTGTTAAAACATCTCGCTCATATTTTTTAATATGCAGATAAAAAATTGTTACGTTGTATTTCGTGTTCAAATGCAATAAATGTAATAAACGTTTGAAATTTGCTGTTACTTCATATTGTTTCAATATTAAAAAAATTAATATGGCTGTACTCAAAGTAAAATAAGTATTTTATACTTTGTAAGATCATTTGCGATATTCATATAAAAATGATATTTCGAAAATTCCGTCATCGATCTTACATAAGTTTATTGGCAAATGCCTATTGCAATAAAAAAACGTTTTAAAATCATTAAATTACTACTTTCCCACCAAAAATTTCTCGACTTTTGACAGAAGCGAATAACATCCTCGACAATTCAGATGCTGAAAACATTTAGAAATAAAATCGAAGCTTTGAGTAGGAAACGGAAAAGCACGAATTCACCGAACAAACAAATCGTCAGCATTAACAAAACCTTAACATGGTATTGGCCAAATCCTTAGGAACACACCCATTTCAACGTCCCCTCTGTAATTTCCATTTCTCGACCAACTCCTAATCTCGACAACAGTCGACACGTACTTTCAACAACTTTAAAAAAATAAAATTTCCCGCGAGTCCAACGTTAAGATTAGAAGAGATTACTCTCGAATATGGTCAAATATTTGAAATTGGTACGAGTCATTACTGAAAACTATTTCCGCCGTAAAATTTTCATCCCCGCAGAAGGAGATTCGATATTCTCTTGCCAGTTACAGACCCCGGGAGCTTACGACTACAGTTTCCTGAATTATCAACACTGAAAGAGGCCATTTAACTTGTAAACTGTAAACTCTTTTGACTAAAATATCTCTTTCGTGGACTTATTAATTCGTCCGCTTAAGTCTTTGAATTAAAAATAGTTTAATAATAAATAGTCTTGTAAATATATATGTACATAACTTTTTTTTATACTAGTCGGTAATTGGTGAATGGCTGTTCTCCGTCGGAGACGAGTTGTGGTTCTGTTCGGGGGTGGTCGGTTTCGACAGGTTGTCGTTATTGTCCCGTTCCTCGTTCGTCTCCGTCTGCGGAACCAGGCAGTTCGCCGCCGCTATCTCGAGCCACTTCTTCCTGTTCTGCCGGACGCCTTCCACTAGGGGCTCCAGATGATCCGACAGCATGCCGAATGACTGAAAGAGAAGCAATTATTATTAGTAGACACCGGTGCTAACTGTAGTTACGAGCTTCGGTAGCCGAGGTGTCTGGAGACAATTTGGGAAAAAATATTAAAAAAATTAAGACTTGAAAAATTTTAAAAAATAGTTTTTAACTTCAACAACGACTAAATGAAAAAGGTGAGTAAAATTCTGCAAGTTTGTCCTAATTTAACCAACATTGGATCCCTTAGGATAACCAAGATTCTCGGGGTGCAGTCCAAAATAAAGATCCAGTAATTCCCTGATTTAGTTCCACTTGATTTTTCTTTGTATATTCTAGTATAAATCAATGCACAAACAATAATTGACTTACCTCGTAAATAGGCAGGCAAATTGAATCAATAAATCCTACTTGCATTAATGGTAATTGGTCCTCTTTCTCTCTGTTCATTATGTCCTGGAAAAAAAAAGTCGAATTTGAGTATAGTTTTCTTTTTGCGATGTTTATTTACTCTTTAAAAAAAATTATTTGAGTCAAAAATGAGTTTACAACGTCCGAACGTTTTTTTTGGAACGTCATCATTGTTGGTTAAAACAGTTTTGAAATTATAATTGACTTGTATTTGAATCAGCGTCATAAATACTGAAAAACAATCAAGCTGGGAGGTAAGAATAAAAACAGTATTACCAAAATCTCATTTATATTAGTCATTTAGTTTAAAAAAATGGTTTATTTTGAATTAGCTGTAAAATTTTTAAATCACTGCAAAAGACTCGTATAAAGTGAAATTTCTCTTAGACGGCTATCAATCTAGCTATAAAAATTTGTCCGTTTATCAAAGAGAAAATTGGACAAAAGCAGTTTCAATAAATGGTCAAAAAAAAAATACAAATTACACTCTGTAGTTTCATTTTCAACAATGCCAAACAAATATTGCAAACCACGTAAAGGCAAAAGGTAATTATTCAAAATGAAGATTTACTTTAGAAAACATGCAAATCCAAAACATGCCTATCAGATAGAGGACTCATGGATTGTTGCAGCGAGAGTTACTCACAGCTTTTAATATACAAGGTGTTACTTTGGGTGGGGGTCATATTTATACAGAGGTTTCCTTTGACCTTTAGAAAAACGTATCAAGTTTATTTTTTCAAATTCTGCCGTAAAAACTTATTTTTTTTTTATCTTTTTTTAGTAATTTTCGTACCCCGCTGCTGGAGAAGCTACTATAACCTCACTTAAGTCACGGCACATACACAATTCCACACCATTCGGCGCAAGTTACTTTTGTTGAGTGGGTATTTGTCACACAATCAGTATTTAACAAGTAACCTAGCAAAAAACTCGAGTGGTAATCAATAATGGTAAATGAAATACACAAAAATAAATGGTCTGTCTTCCAGCGAACATTCAAATTCACAGTTACATGTATCGTCTCAGAATGTAGAATGCAGAACAACTGATGCCCTTCGCTTTGTCACAATTGACCCGCACTATCTCCCTGCACATGCACTGTAGGTTGCCTACAATTCATGTATTTGTACAACATAAATATTAAAGTGGCGGCGTTCACAAGTATTAAAATGCATTTAGAATAACTAATTATAACTGGACTATTTACTTGAGAAAAAAAAGAATTTCAGATTCGTATTCAGGGAAAACACGTACTATTACCCCTAAAAAACTGACCCCCACTTAAAGCTACACCCTGTATAAGAATTGGTGTATCACTGTTATTTAAAATTTTAACTGTTACTCAGATTTTTAGCTTGGGAATTACATTGATTTTCCAGTATTTTGCACTGCCGATGTGCTCACTTTAACCAACAATGTACTAATATTTAGCGTTGCAAAGACGACAATTAATGAAAATTTGTCATTCTGCAAACCCTCTAAAGAAACTAAAAAAATTAGAACATTGACATTGTAACAAGAAAAATGAACTGAAATAAAAGAGTGAAAATCCAATTCGGCGTCCTTAAGAAAAACAAAAAAGTAGTATTGGTTCTCCCTCTGAGGGCACCAGGATTAATACAATTAATACATATATAATACAAGATTCAAGGTAACTATAATTTATAAAATATTTTGTAGACCAATTTTGGAACACGGACAAGTGTTATTTCTAAATAACCGGTTCAGTAATAAAAAATTTACAAGTATCCGAAACGTCTGCAAATAACTCCAACGAAAAATTGTCATTAAACTAACCCTCTTCATAGACTATTTAACCAGAAATGATTAAAGACGAAAACCCATTCAAGAAAGACTACAAAGAAAGAGTGACCACAAAAAACCTGTGATTTTCACCCGTTTTGTCACAATTCGCAGAGAATTTTAAAAAATACATAAAAATGTTTTTGGTCGCAAATTACTTGTCGAAAAAAAACTGAAATGAGCAGTTTTTAGTATTTTGAAAATTTAAAAAATCACCCCCTACTTAGAGGTTGAAAAAATGCCAAAAATGAAGAATTTGAATATTACCAATTGATATAAAAACTATTAGCATGTGAATTATCTTAATATATTTTTTTTTTGGGAATTTTTACAATTATTTCTGATATTCTCTATTTTTAGGGATGATTCCACCGCCTGAGCGCGCTTAAGGGTGTATTTTCTAATTCAACATGCTTATTTCAGTCATGAGAATAAATCTTTCTTTGTATCAAGAATCATTCGATAGAAAAATTCACATGCTAATACTTTTTATATTTATTGGTAATATTCAATTCTTCATTTTGGGTGTCTTTTAAACCCCCTAGGGGTGATTTTTGAAAGTTTTCAAAAAACTAAAAGCTATGCTCATCTTAATTTTTTACAAGTAATTTGAGACCATATTTATATAAACATATTTTTATCTATTTTCTTTAGTTCTCTGCAAATTGTGAAAAAACGGGCGATTTTTGCGGTCAATCTTTATAAAATACCCTTCTAAGTGGAAAACATGCTTTCCTCAAGTTTCAAATAACCTGTTGTCGATTTGTATTATTATGATTCTTATGTTAGATATCTGAATATACAGGGTGTTTATAAATAAGTGCGAAATATTTTAGGGGGTGGTTGCCGAAGTTATTTTGTGAAAAAAAGTTCATATAAATGTAGGTCGAAATATGCTTAATTTCAAAGATACAGAATGACTAAATTTTAATTTTTTATTTATTTTTATTAATTATTTCAGAGTTTTAAAGATATTGACTCAAAATTTAATGGTTGTATTTATTTAGAAATATTGACAGCAACCTATGCAGGATCCGTTGGAAGTCCAGGTGGCAGAGCAACTGCAAAATTGCCTAACTATGTCCACAGTCAGGGATCACACCTTGGAGGATCAGCTTTGACGAGGGCCCGAATTCGCTTCCAGACGGTTTGCTAATTTACGCGTATGAAAATTACACTGCAAATTATTTTTTATTTGTCTCCGGTAATAAAAATTGTAGAGAGCTGAATTCTTTTTTTTAAAATAAAAATAAGACTGCGAAAGCTTATCAAGTTTTTTTGGCGACCAGTTTGTTGGATTGGAGCCGTGCCCCAACATCTGATCTCACCTGGTGTTCCTTAATACCGAATTAAAATAAAAGCAAAATCTTTGTTAAGACGTGCCATGTTTCCCCATTGAAGATTCGAACGACATCGACTGATACTGAAGATAAATAAAGTTGAAAATGTTCCATTACGATGAGTGACATTTAATCGTCAAAGATTCAAAGCTAACTGATTTTACACAGAAATTAAATAAAGTTAAAAACTTCTACGTTACGATGCATGATGATTCACCGTTGAAGTTTCAGAGCTGACTCGAATAGTGAAATCCCACGGCTTTAATAACAAATTTTGCTCATTCGTTCTATGGGTGTGATCTCGCAGAAAGACTTCGACGACTGTTAAATTTTGAGTACATACAAAAAAAACACTTCCAGAAGTTTTGCACTCCTTCAGGGACCTACCACTATAAAACCATTATCTTTTAAAAATTTATGCCATTTCCTTTCACATTTAAATGTAAATAAATTACTTTAGTACGATAGTTTTGCTTGTATTAGAATTGTAAAATAAAATACGGTACAAGAGAGGCTGCAGAAACTTGGTCGATGGTCTTTTGATATGGTCTTATAGTATTTCAAGCAAAATTATCCAAAAATAAATTTTCAATAATTTTTTACAATAATAATTTATGAAATATTCCGCAATTGAAAAACGGTGCCTAAATCGAGAAAAATTTTTACTCACTATTGGCGTAATCTTCAGCTTCTCCCTCTCGATATCTCCCTGTTCAAAGAACTCCGACGACACTAGTTCGGCCACCCGTTTCTCAACCTCCCACGGTTTCGTGATGGCCGCCAAATCGCACACCGTCATCAGCATGGCCCTCAGCAATTCCCTGTGTTCCTCCATGGCCCAACATGGGCCCTCGCTCACGACTTTGAAGAACGCACCTCGTTTTCTGTAAATTCGAACAGGCAGAATCAAAAACTGAACTGTGTTGACACGAGTGAGTAAAACGTCTAGAGAGCTTGACGGATATTTACCTGAAGTAGACCGCTAGGTCCGTAGAGAGGATGGCCTCTTCTAATACCCTGATAACCCTAGAATAGTCGTCCGGAGAAATATTGGATAGAAGCTGGTTCCCGGGCGAGTTGAGGATCATTATGCATTGGTCGAAGTGGTGGTGTTCCATGGTGGACGTTGAATATAGTTGTGCGAGAGGCGAGGAAGCCCTGCAACACAACAGTTCCGTTATCATTCTTTAAAGAATAAGCTCATTTTTCACAAATTTATTTTATGATTTATGTATTTAATAGATAATTTCTTCTTTAATTACATTAAACAAAAAAAAGTTTTGTTTTTATTCTGAAAATGTTCTCGGTTCCTGGATTAAACTTTTGAAGACAATAAATAATACTAAATTTCATGTTTTTAAGAGTATTTACCATTCAATTTTAATTACTTCTAAATCTAGGTGCATTTTCATAAAATGGACTATTCTTCTTCTTCTTCTTCTCTTCTTCCAGTAGTCCATTCAATAAAACTAATTAAATGAAACCCGTTTAAAGTAATACAGAACCTTCATAAATGTTTACAAGCCAGGAGACCGCTGAGCTTAGTCAACCAACATTGCAGGGCTGGTACTGGTAACGAAAAATCCTTAAATGTTGGCGAAACCAGTATTGATTCCTTTACAATGAACAATGACATAACCGTTACGTCTACGCTTGAGATAATGATAATTTTGTCAAACTACTAAAAAAATAAAACACTTAGAATGGCTCCGTTAAAAAAAAAATTATTATTTTTTACATGGACTTCTCGAAGAACAAAAAGAGATACAACAGATATAAATAAATAGCATGAAAAACATCAAGTGTTAATGTTAATTAATGTTATTTAATAAAATGTTAAATAATTTTCAATTTTATAAGCACTATTTTGTGATTGAAGAAGTAATTAATTACGACTTCATTACAAATGACATAGTGATTAAACAAAATCGTTTTTTGTTGTTTTAAGTAAGAATATAAACCACTTAACCTATAATTGTAGCATATTTTCTTCTTCTTCTATGAGTAGTTCAAGAAAATTTAATCCAAATTGATCTTTTTTAATTTTAACCAATAATACACCATTATTTCCAGATTAGCAGTTTTACAAGTTTTGTTTCGTGACCCCTCAAGAGATAATAATTATAAGACCTACTGATAAAACACTCTTGAAAGATAAAGAAAAGACGTCAAAAGATATAAATAACTACAGTTTGGTCTTTTTTTCGAAAGTTGCAATCTTTCATAACATGAACTTTTAGTTCCAATGAACTTTCGTCTTCTTCTTCTGTTTAAGAAAATTTAGTTAAAATTGATCTTTCCCAATTATTAAAGCACATTATTTGCAGATTTGCGGTTTTACAAGTTTTGTTTTATGACCAGAGAGCGGACATTTTGTGACTTTAACCTTGAACATAGATATGTCATTCATAAACCTAGATACATTACCCATGACGCAGTGGCGTGTCGGGTATGCATCGGAAATTTATGTGATAATTCACGAAAATTCCACGGTACATACATTTTTAGGCATTATAAAATATTTAGAAAATCAGAAATTGTATACTACATATTTATTAAATAAGGTTTGGTAAAAAATAGTGTCGTTCTTTTAATTGGAAATTAGGAGTCAATGTAACGAATATCCTCAGGCGACGCACATGATAGAATAGTCCAACTCACGCTCCATTCATAACAGGGCTGCAGTTTGAATTTTGACCAATAGGAATTCGATAAACGCAACTGATGTCGACGGATGGACTAGAGATGGGCGCGAGTGGCATTTCATTTCTTTAGAACTAAATTAACTTAATTATTTTCTCGTTATTTAACCTGTTCACATGGTTTATGGATTTTAAATAATGGGTACAAATCTTCGCGAGTATAATACGATATATTTGATATACATAATAATTATATTTTGCAGAGTTTATACACAATACATTTTGGAACGCGTACACATCTCTACCAAAATTTGACCTATTCTTCGGGTTAAAGTCACACATTGTCCGCTCTCTATTTATGACTTCTCAAGGGATAATTTTAAGAACTTTTCACTGCAAAAGGTCATATAAAGAAATTGAAGGTTATGTAGATAAAACATTCTTGAAAGACAAAGAGAATATGTCAAAACTATAATTTAATGTTTGTTTCTGGTACAAAGTTGTGATTTTTCATAACATGAACTACTTAACCTTTAGTTCCAACGAATTTTCTTCTTCTTCTTCTGCAAGAAGTTCAAGAAAATTTAGTTGAAATTGATCTTTTCCAATTATTAAAGCATCATTATTTGCAGATTTGCAGTTTTACAAGTTTTGTTTTATGACTTTTGAAGGGATAATTTTAAGAACTTTTTACTGCTAAATGTCATATAAAAGTAATATAAATTGAAAGTTATGTATATAAAACATTCTTGAAAGACAAAGAGAATATGTCAAAACTATAATTTGATATTTTTTTCTGATACAAAATTGTGATATTTCATAACATGAACTACTTAACCTTTACTTCCAACGAATTTTCGTCTTCTTCTTCTGCAAGAAGTTCAAGAAAATTTAGTCGAAATTGATCTTTTCCAATTATTTGCAGATTTGCAGTATTACAAGTTTTGTTTTATGACCCTTTAAGGAATAATTACAAGAGTCTTTCGTTGCAAAAGGTCATATAAAGTTAATTGTATATAAAAAATTGAGAAGGTTATTTAGATAAAACATTCTTGTAAGAAAGAAAGAGAATATGTCAAAAGATAGAAATAACTATAGTTTGATGTTTTTTTTTCTGATACAACATTGCAATATTTCATAATATGAACTACTTAACCTATAATTCTAACGAATTTTCGTCTTCTTCTTCTACAAGAAATTCAAGAAATTTTGTCAAAATTGATCTTTTTTAAATAGTAAAATCCCATTATTTGCACAATTTTATAAGCGTATCATTTTACGGCTTCTGAAGAAATACTTATAAGCTCTTATTGCAAAAAGTTATATTAATAAATCTAATTATATATGTATATAAGAATTTGGACATTATGTTACAAATTGTTGTCGAGGAACAAAGAAAAGATGTCAATAGCTAGAAATAATTATAATTTAACAAGGTGCTGTGCTGCAATGTGCAATGTTTAAAAATATGAAGTACAGAACTATTTCTTCTTCTTCTTCTATAAGAAGCCCAAGGACACTTACGACATATAAAACATCTGCATTAAATATACAGACAAAATTTTCAAACTTACTTTATCTGGAAAGAATTGTTGGTTCCCCTGTGGTCCAGGTCGTGGCAGAGACACGCGATCATCAGAGCGAGACACTCAATCTCACCGAAGATTTTCCACCACTGGGTAGACTAAAAATAACGAATCAAATTTTCAAAAAATTACGCATCCCAACAAAAAACTTACAGTCAGTATGGAGAACATCATCTGGGCCACGTTGAAGGCGTGCCTCCAGTTGTGGTAGGTGACATTCCTGTAGTTCTTCTTCACGGACAACAACCACCTGCACAACACCTCGTAGTCCATGTTGAAACGTTCCACTATGTCCAGGTCGAGGAACATCCTGATGCAAGCCTGCAAGAGAAAACGTCAAAAATCTACGAGAACTGGATTTTTCAACGATCGATAAACGCAAATATGTGAGAATGAAACGATGTTATTGATTTTGTGCACAATTAGACAGATACTTACAGTGAGAGTTTCGTCGTCATCCATGTGGATGTCGTCGAACGAGTAACTGTGCAGTCCGAAATGTGCTGCCGATGGTACCCGTAAACTCTGTAAGAAAAATGTTTGTTAATTACACAATAAAATGGATTGGGTTAGACGACTATTTAATACACGAAAAGCTATCAGGCAACGGTGACGAAAATGACAAATGAACAACATGCATTAGTTAGAGGTTTTTTGAATAGTTCTAGCTGTTTTCCAACAGATGGGGCTACCAGAACTGCATGAGTGTAGCTAAAGATGGTAAAGCACCTATGAAGAAGTACTGTAAGCAAGCTTGAAATTCATCGAAATGTAGAAGTAAACTATGTACTTTTTTTTCATAGCGTTAAATAGATTGGTTAATTTACGATGTCGCTTGTTCAAAAGCGGCAAATTACAGATTTCTTTACAACAAAAAGTAATTTGAGTTTCAAACTAACTCCATTTTATAGAAAATCAAATCTACCTTAGAATGGAGGAAAGTCCATTATTTGTGCAATAATTCATATTTAAACAAACTGTGTAATAAAATCTATACAAATGTATTGCTGGTTGTCTACTTGCTACAGAGCCCTCTTAGGTGACTTCGATATAGAGGATGTTTTTAAATGAAGCAGCAAAAATAGTACCAGTGAATGTAGAGCCAAAAATAAGAGGATTGAAGTAAAAATACCTTATATGAAAGTTGCACTCCTGAGGCGATATACCCTCTTAAAGGAGGGGATTGAAATTCACATTTTAATTTTTTTCTTTAACATGAGGAATGCTGAAGTCACGAAACTTGGTATGAGCATTCTACTAATAACGAGACAACTTTTCAATATTTGTTCGATCATTGGTAGATTTTATAAAGGAGTGAAACAGTCAACCCCATTGCAATATTTTATTAGAAATTTTTTATATGACGCAAATTATTTATTTAAAAATATTTATTGGGAAGACTGATTTATTGCGCAACTTTTCTACCTCAATAAAACCGATAGTTTTCTAGTAAAAAAATTAGATGCGTCATCGTTCACTAAAGGCTTATTTTTGGCTCTACATTCACTGGTACCATTTTTGCTACCTCATTTAAAAACACCCTGTATTTTAAAAAACGCAATCTAATGATTTTTTAAAAAAAAACACCTGTCATCTCGAAAACGAAGCGTTTCCTGCAATAAAAAGCAATATTTTGAAGCATGGAACAGGCCGATGTGTCATGACGTGCGATAAGCAGCAGTGCCATCTATCGATCTCCACCAGAAACAAACTACATACTCTTAAAAATGTAATACAGCACCTGGTGTCTTACCCTTAATCGTTGCGCGTCTTCCAGACTGGCCGTGGCGTGGTAAGACAGCACCTCCAGGGTGACGTTCTGCTTGGCCACTGCCACGACGGCCTTCTCGTACATGTGCGTGTTGTGGATGCCCATTCCGCAGAAGATGGCGAATGCCTCGACGAAGTTCTCGTCGTTCTTGGTGAAGGGGAGATCGTTGAATTTGTTTATGAGCTGGATGACGCCTATGATCTCGGCGCAGGAATTCTTGATGGGCATGCAAAGGATGGTTTTGTGCTTGAAGTTCGTGCCCTCGTCTACGCTGGGGTCGAAGCGGGCGTCCTCATCTACGTTGGGAAGGTTCGCGGTCTGGAAGAGAATGTAACGGTTGCAGAAATTTCATTCACCATTAAACGTAAGACTTTCAAAAACACATAAATTTGCTAAGCAAAAATATTTACTAAAGGCGATGGTTTTTCTTTTTGTCGAAGACTTACGCCATAAAGTAAATATTTTGCACCAAAAGTTAAGTTATTCTGAATTTTCATTTACAATAATAGTTTTTTAAAATTATAAAAAACATGTAATGTTTTTTGTAGAAATATTATTTCTCGTATTGAATGAATAATTTTGGATATACACGTTTCTTAGAATTTTAAATCTGTATCAAATTTTTTAAGTGAAAAACTTACCTCTCCCGTTGTAGCCACATACCCTGTAATGCCCACGTTGATGGGAAATCTGCTTTCGAATGGACTGTAAAAAAAAGAAATATAGATTTATACACACTGGACAGCTTTAAGTTAACATACACATATGCTTGCATCTTTTTACACTTTGTAATAAAAATGGAATAATTTGTAAGCCTTAATGGCAATTTTTATTAAGCAATTAAGAAAATAGTATATAATAAAAATTAACTCGTTTTATATAGTATTTACTCCATGAACACGTTCATGAATAATATACATTTTTTAACTTTATAATGCAAATAACTGCAATGATCAAACCGGGTGTGTCTACGCTAGCTAAGTATTCTGAATAAATTCCTAGAAAATTTCTAAGTTTCGGGGAAGAACAAAGCAGAAATAAATCTCTTCAAAATTCAAAAATTTGTGAAACAGTAACTTTATGTTAACAAATTTAAAACATACCTCGTTCTAGATTCGCAACCTTCCTCTAAAATCTTCAAATCGTTAGCCTCAAAGTCAAATACTCTCGAAAAACTTATTTTAGAATCCTGGTGGACTAGTAAAACCTGTGGAAAATTATAATCAAATAAAAAAAAACAAAATAGCAAATTATGTTAACTTCTTAAAAATAATTTTTCCTAGGCTACCATTAGTTAAAGAATCTGAATTTCCTGCTTCAAAAGATATTTTTTTTATTTACATATTATCAAAACAAATGAATTGTTTTTCTGAGCTACTTTGGAATTATTATAGTAGGATCATATTCGATGCAAAGTAATAAATCGTTGAATGTCAAAAGATCCAGTGCAGTACGGTTTTAAGAGGTTTAGAAATTTAAATGAAGGGATGAAGGGATCAGTTCACGTCTGGCACCCATGTTCATACAAAAATTCCTTTATTCTCATAAAGTATTTATTTTAAATGTGTTATTATAAATCCAATTTATTTTTTAAATTCCACATGCATACTACATTTTACCTGTGTACGCGCCACTGTTGTTTATTTGTTTTTTGGAGGAGGTCTCTGATTTACGACCAAGCTCGCCAGGTTAGTATTTGACGTATAACCGACTACTTCGTACACTCGATGCACCTGGGCGACTACAGCTACTACCAGAACACAGTGCGTATGCAGCGGTATTTCAGATTTTACATTCAATTTCATTTTAAATTTCAAACGATTCATCTTACGCGTCCTAAAAATGATGAGACGATTTTCCTTTGTTAAAAGACCAACAATTTTATGCTTTACTTTGCATCAAATACGATCCTATTGTAGTTGAATACAGTGTATTTTGCAATATGAGATGAAAAAATGATGTTGGTGACAAGCTACAAAGTATATGACATGTCTTAAATGGCATTGTTACTCAGCATTGACAGAGAGTGACCTACTAATATGTAGGTACTATGAAAGTATGACTTGTTCTGCACCAGGCGAAATAAACGAAAACCAAAACAACTATTCTTTGGGCTACATACCCCGTCCAACATTGAATTACATCCCCAAAATTTGGAATACACAACAGAATCAGTTTAATGTTTTAATTAAGAAAATCATAAATGTGACATTTTTATTTTCTTCTTAAGAGATGGACTTGGGAGCGAAAAATTTCATTTTCGTGGCGTTTAGAGGCTGGTTCATGTTAGAACAAATTTGAACATATTTTTGCGAAATCGCAAAGTTGTTCGGACGAAATTTTGTTGTTCACATAAGTAAGAAGTATTATGGGAAAATATTTATCAAATCTTATTCTTTGTTGTCGTTCTGTATTACCCTGCATTGTAAATTACGTCAAATACATTCATATATAAATTGTTATTCATTCTAGAATAACTAACTCATTTTCTAATATCAAATTTCTAAAATCTTGTCTCTTCTTCTACTTCAATATTTTCATAACACTACAAGTTCGATTTTTACGTTTTGTTTTAACTATTTTTTATTAATCATTAACTACTTGATATAATAATTTCAGTATTAGTAAACTCAATAATTTTAGGGACAATTCTTTATTCTATGTTCACAGAATATTATGTATAAAAATAATAACTTCACATTCGAAAAATTTATTACTACTATTATTACTTCATACTAAATAATATTTAAGATGTAAAAAATATCTTATTCGTTCATGTGTGTAGGTAAAAAGGTATGTTTGTCATTCACAAAGGAATAAATATGCATTAAAAGTTAGGTTAACGACCGAATATTATTAAGTTAAGATTCACTCTCGATAAACCTTTGTGGGTCAGGAACGGTCTGAAAAAGTGTTTAAATAATGATTTGAATTTTTTTCAGTGTAAATATATATTTTTCCCTTATTATAACTGAATCAACCTATATATTTTTTATTTTCGCAACAGTGCAAATGTCGTTTACATTTAAATTTAAATAAAAAGAAGATATATGCAGCTTTTTTAATTTTAGAGCTTTTAAGCCGTCCTCCCCGTTAGATAATCCAACTTTAAACGAAGGGCGTTGAACAAACCAAAAAAAAACTTGTTCCGTACACCCCTCACTTTCGCCCTGCTTGGGAGTACCAACTTATTTGAAATGCAAAGAGTATCTCAGTTTCATGAAGTTTAGGCGGTTTTTTAGGAATGCCTGCTAAAACTGAGATTTATTGCAAAAGCTTCCCAAGTTATGTATTCAAATAGGAACGTACAAAGCGAGCATTTCCTTCCAAATAAAAACAAAAAACTGGGGGTAAGCGCCCGCTTAAATTATACAACAAAATAAGTTGGAATTTTTTACTAAAAATTACCATAATTCTTGGAGTATGCAATATCCGATGGATTTTTTTTAAATACAATCCATGCAATACGCAGTAATAATACAAAGAAAAACTAAAAATAAAACTGAAATTCTTAATGGAAAATTAAGTATAAAGGTGCGTGCAGACATGTTTCAATGCATGTGGTACTCCTAACTTATTTATAATTAGGTATTTTGCGAGATGAATTTATCACACCCTTCATGTAACGACATCCTCAAGTTTTAATTTTCTTACGACGTAACGACGTTCGCCACGAGGAGTCATGCCGATCGATTTGCCATTATCGAAATGCAACTAAGCGTGTTCTAATAACAGCAGTTGATCAAGGGTGGGTGGGTTAGCAATTTCCGTTTGATTAGACGTTACAGATGAAAAACACGCCGCAACCTACAAGCATCGACGATCGTCTTTTGTTTCCGATGAATCCCAATGAAAATGGTTTAGTTTAGCACAATACAGTTTTTGCGGAACCAAATATTGTCTCTTCACACAGATACAAATACAAATAATAAAATTTTGTTCCAGCTACTATGTATAACATGTAATCCACTAGTTTTGTGCGAATAAATTAAATTTAAAATAATTATGCATGCATTTTTAATAGAAAACTTGTTGGGGACCGCTGGCTTCACACTTACGCATAACGTAGATCAACTATGCAGTGTTGCCGGTGCTACAGAGAATTACTCTGCTCATCTTTACAGTTAATGTGTTAACTGTCACAGACTATGCGATAATTTCGGTATACAATGTATTCTTTTTTTTTCTAAAAACGAATCTTTTGAAAGAAGAAATATCTACAGTAACGGGAAACGACTTCGTCATGCGAATTTCCAGTTTTCATAGCCGCCCCGTACTTATGCAGATTTGTCATTCGATATAGCGGGAGTTGACAATAAAAATAATATGTTCGCACAAGCAATTCCAATTATCAGCTGATAATAATTAGGGTTTTTTATACGTACCTAGCGGCTACGTGGCTTAGACCAATATGCTTTTGAATAGTTGTATAATAAACTACTTAATCGATTTCAAAGGTTACAATTGTTATTCAGAAAAATGCGGATTGCGATCAATTAAATCAAATTATTCCATTACTTAATTAACATTAATTAATGTTTTATCTGCATGTTTCCTTTTTTTAAGTTTGTCTCGTGGCAGCAACTACGTATTTTGTTGTTAATTTTAACGATTTTCAATCAACTAATCAGAGGGAAAATAAAATATTTGAATAAAAAGTATTTACCCGTTAATAATGTTTTTTTTTTGTGACAAAAACAACGGGAACTATAGATTTGCATTTTCTAATTTACACTTTTTTTTTTAATGAATATTTTAGGGTTCTTGGTTTAATTTTAATTTGTTTTTAATCTACTTAAAAGGTATATTCTTGTCAAAATTCGCTGCACTGCTTCTTTTTCGAGAAAAACAACAGAAACATTTGTCCTTTTTCTGGCAAATGAATCTATTTAGCGAATTTTAACAGCAGGTATAGTCTTTCCGATCTCAACTGAGGAACCAAGAGGTTGGCAGTATGTACCAGGCTCGGTCGCTGACGCAGCAACTCGGCATTGAAATAATTGAAAAACTTGTTCCCATATTTATTTAGCCACACCCATATACAGGTCTGGTCGAATTAAACGTGGAGGTAGTAGAAATGTATACGCCCAATTGAGGAATACGCGCGCGGGCAAACGGCGTACACAGACAGTCGAACTGGTCGACTGGGCAATAAATCTCAGCTGTTGACAAGTGGTTGACTAATTGCCTAGCCGTGCAGTGCAGCAATGCGGAATTTGGTGTGATTCAGGTAATTTTAATTTATTATAGGCACCTTTTAATCATTCACATTACAATTGCGATGGGGAGAAATAAGAGGGATATTTTGTTTACTAATATTATCACAACATGGCATTTTGGAGACCTTTTGAAACGGAACAAAACGAAATTTACCATCAACATAATAAAATTGTTTGAGGACATAAATAATTAAAATATGTTGTTGGCCAAATAAACACATAATAGAAATTTTCTATACCTTATATACAAACTATTATAATTTTTTACCTTTAGCAGAAAACTTTTTTAGGGACGCCTATGCAACTCATTAAATTTTATTGGTAGGCGTTTTTATACATGTTCAACTGACTTCGGAAAGACTATAAAGGCGGAAGTACATAAAATCGTTCTAAGGATTGCAAAATTCTAACCTTAAAAAAAGTTGAGACCTAATATTTTCCTAGTTTGTCATATACCAGAAATATGTGACAGCGTAGCTTATAAACTGATATTTATACCAGACTATTCAGGGACACTCAAAATAGATGTCAATGCATGGCAATTAATTTTGTAAACAATTTTAACATTTTGTATTTTGAAAATTCAAGATGATAGACCCACAGTAAAATGTCACTTTTTAATATTCCATTACCCCTAGAATTTGTTATTTGTCATTCTAAAACACCGTAGGTTAAAGAATTTCACAAAATAAACACGTAATTTCCACTCAACTTAATTTTCAACATTTGCACTGTTTATTTGAATTTGAGACTCCATATCTTTCCCCTCCACTCTATTGTCTTTCCACAAAGGGAGAAGTTGCTAATTAACAGCTCATTCTGGTAGATGTCTAGCAAAACTCATATTCAACGCTAATGTAAATTGGGAAACACATAGTTATAATTAATTAGAAGCCTATATTATACCGCAGCCAAAAATGTATAGTACCTAAACTAATATAAACAGCTTTGAAAACATTGTAAATAATAAAATTTGTAAAAACATAAAACAGTGGGAACTAGTCTTAGGTTCAATAAATTGACCAATAAATTTTAGATGTGGAACCAGTGAGGGCGGAAAAAATTAGGCACAAAGTATTGAAAAAAATATTAAATATAATTGGGTAGTTTTATTTTAATAGATACTATTGAAATATGGGGAAAATGTACTCTACATGATTATTTTTTATTATTCTAAAGGTCCGTGGTCTTAAACTTGGGCAATAAATTGGCCAACATGGCAAATTTCGACAATACCTTGGACAATTTATTGGATCAAAAACTGTTAAACTGGAAACAGATTTTAATTATTACCAAGATTGTCGTACAATTTGGCGCATTAATCGAATAGAATTCTTAATTATTCCAACTCGAGAATTCTTCCCTAACCAAAGAGAATGACGGACTCACCTGCACCCTCTGGCACTGGATGAGACTCTGGGTGTGCGTCAGTATCCTGAACACGACGTGCTCGATGGTGGACTGCTCCTCGAATATCATGCGGGCCAGGTCCAGCAGCACCTGGTTGCGCTTGATCTCCAGCTGGGACTTCTCGTAGAGGTGCGCATTCCTGAGGCCGATGCCGCAGAACTGGAGGTAACTGGAGAACACTTCCTCGTCGGACTTACTGAAGGGCTGGTCGCCCACCTTGTTTATGACCTGGAAAGGAACGAGAGGGTCAGCGGGAGGTGTTCCGCAGGGAGCGCGGCTAGGGCCGCTACGGGATAAATTAATGTCGAAGCGTTGAGGTTTGGTAGAAGTTTCGAGCCACTTTCTCAGCAATACATTTGCATTTTTAAGTCTATTGTTATTTCGTCGATTGTCGATATTAAACAGTATGCGTTTTTTCCGATATCAAGGCGTGAATTTGAGGTAAGTAATTTTCAACCCTTGTCATATCGAAAACAGTTGAATGTATAAAAAATTATAAATAAAAAAACCTTACATCTATAAGTTCCTTCCAGTAGTTTTCAAAATTTAATTGTTTTCAAAAGTTTTCAAAGAAAACGTGTATTCCAAGCTATATTGATCACCCTGTACAAATTAGTCAATACGACGCAGCATAAAGGTTAAAGTTTATTATACCTTTTTTTGGGCAACTTCTTTTTTTTTTAGAAAACTTGATTGTACGTGTAAAAATGACATGTCATATGACTGTTTAAGTTTTATATTTGAATGAATAAAGACGCAAAAATATTGAAAACAGACAGACAATAGAAGCTGAAAAGTTAAACTTGTATCAAGTTTTTGCAGAAATAATCGGGAAAAAATCATTTTTAACTGAACCAAACATGTTTTTTTTTAATTTTTTTGGGTCATTTGCCAACAGTGAAAAAATTTAAAAAATTCAAGATTTATTTCAATTCTTTGAAGGTGGCAAAATACTAACAAAATAAAGAATAAAAAACAAGAAAACAGGAAATAAATATAGTCAAACACAACCAACCAATCAACAAAACAAGCCATTTACTTCAATCTCTCGTAAAAATAAATAGGAAAAAAACATGTTGAAATTCAGGCATTCAAAAAAAATGTCAAAAAGCTATCTGTCATACAGTGATCACAAAAAAATCTATTTTTAGGAAAAAAAATTAAACTTGGTATGGAACTTCAAAACTTGCCAATCTTTGATATTAAATCAGCTTAGAATGATTTATACAAGTAGTCAAAACAAATTGTGAACGTTGGTAAAAACCAGTTAAAAAAGAAAAAGTTCGTAAAATGTGTTGCAAAAGAAAAAGAAGCTATTATCAAAATGCAAAGGTACGTTCTGGTAATGGCCTGTTTACAATTTTTTAATTAAATTATCAATATTTGAACATTGTTACAATTACAATAGGTTTTTGAAACGCTATATCTGAAAATAATTTTGTAAGTATTTGGAAGCCTATACGAGCTCAGATTATTCAGTATAGTTGTTAAGATGTCAATTGGAACCTGTAAATCTTAAAGCACAGGACCATAAGCACTTCTCCTGAAATTTCTTCTTATGCTTTGACCATGATGTGTCTCGTAATTTATACTCGAATAGCAATTCGGCGAGTCCGGTATTAGAAAATTGACGATTTTACCAGATGTAATGCGGCGCACAATTTATAATATGTATAAAGAAAATAAATAATAAAGAAAATAAAGTTCCTACGATTCGAGATAAATTAAGCGATTATCCTGATTATAATTATAAATCTTTAGATATTTTACGACATACTTTATTACAATGCGATTTTAAACATAAAAAACTTGACAATCGTATGGTAATTATATGGTAATATAGCTCGGAATACAGTATATCTAGACGAGACGGGGCTAAATTTTTCTGGACGTCTATGGATTCCGTAGAATTTATGAGTTAAATGTTTTTATGCTGTTCCAATTGAGATCGTAACAACTATAACACCGTACAAAGCAGCTGGACCATTCATTCAAAATCTATTTCAAGAGAGCACGAGAAAAAATTTGAATGCCAAGGAGACATGACTCATCCCGTATTATATGGCAGGCGCCAGCTAGCGGATACACGTCTTTAAATTGAACGGCTCGGTAATAAATTCAAAAAACAGCATAGATATGACAGACCAGAGAAAATATTAGCAAACAGTTTCATACAAATAAGTTTAGTTTTGGAGCCAGTGTGCCAGCGTTGTTAGGAGTATATGCATTGCTGCTTCAAATTTCATTAAAATCTTGGCGAAGAGCGAATATGTTTGGCAAGACTCCGCAGCACCTTGGATTGTGCCGGGCGGATATCCGCCAAAATGAAATTCCGTTATTATCTTTAGGATCCGATTTTAAATTTTAAATACAATAAAGTGCACTGGAAATTACTAATTAACGAAAAAAATGACACGCAGTGTTTCTGAAAATTCCACCGATAAAATTTTGGTACGTGATTTATTTCTCCGATAGTAAAGTTTTACAGATAGTTTTTGTTTTCATCTGTTTCACTTTTTTTGATAGACTGGTGACCGGTTTTACATCAGTTGACTTAACTATATTATTATTGTTATATATATGATCATGCTCACTGATTTTGATAGTATTCATTAAAAAAATTGTGCAAATTTACATAGACTTTTTTTGTCCATGTATACAGGGTGATTCAGAACTTATAAAAAAATGTTGGATGTACAGGGGACTCTTACAAATACAATTTTGTACAGAAAAAATCAAAAAGGGCAGTTCAAAAATGATTTAAAAATATACTTATGCACGGCACTGGAAACTGGTCCACTGTAAAACATGACCTCGCAGAATGCGACCGGCACGGTGGGCGGCAAAGTGTGACAAAAACTTGCATCACCATACATTAAAACGATATCCATCAACTCCGCCAGAGTTGCTATACACGCAAGCCATTTTTTACACTAACTACTAAAAAACTATTGTAAACACTAACGCGACGACGATTGCAAAATTTGATTTCAGTATTCGCTGAGGCCACGTGGCTCTCCACGCGTATTACGACTGACGCTAGAGACTACAATTGTTCAGGGATGTAATACTTGAAAGCACTACAATTCCAATAATTTTTTTCTCGGAAGCTATAAGGATTTTACTAAAATTTTTTTACGATATTGACTCAGTTTCTCGTGCCGCATCTATTTCCAAATTTTTTTTGGATAAGTTGTGCATCACCCTGTATATTAAACACATGTAATACGTTAAGTTTCCTTTTAGGATGTATTGTTACTTTTAACTTATACTTATTTATATATTTATATTTTAATATATATCAGTTCTAATATTTTGCGTTTCTACAATATTTGATGTAAATAAACACGAATCAATGTGAAAGAAACTACACTGTCCTATTTCGGGTCAACTAATCAGCTTAATTATGTAATCACGTGTTACCTGTAAGTGTATGTAGAGAGTTCTGCTAGCGGTTTAACAGACCATCATGTTTAGATTCATTTGCGGTGTAGTAATGTCTTTAACTACCTCAATACAGGGTGTTTATTAAGTACGTCTGCAAACTTTAAAGGGTGAATCTTTGACTAATTTTAAGATAAAAGGTTCATATGAAAGTTTGTATAAGTACTTAATAAACACTTTGTATAATATAGATATATTTTAAATTCTAAGGAATTCTGAAGGATAAAGACGTTACTAAAAAACGTGTATAAAATTAAGTACTAGGTACAGTATTTAGTCATTTAAATAAGAATTTTGTTTTTTTACTGTGCTAAGATTTTATTGCACTGGAATTTTAAGGTCATAATTAAACATTTTCTATATTATATTAATTACAGGAAAAAGTGCAAAATTTGTAGATTAAATAATGCAACGTCAAAATAATCTAGTGTGTAACTTTACATAAAATTTTTAAGTGTATCCAAATAGTTAAATATACAAAAATTCTTATGTAGATTCCGCTGGTCATTAAAGAATGTGTTGCATTTACCCAAATTGAAAGGATGGTCTTAAAAAAATGTCTAAAAAATAAAAATGAGAACAACAAAAAAAATAAATTTTGTCACCCCATATCCCAATAATGAAATTTTAGTAATTGTTCTATATGTCCTTGCAAATTTTTTAGTGTAATATTTTTTCCGTTATAACGATAAATTAGCTCCAATAAAATTTTATTGACAAGACTTATTAACGTCAATAATAGATATTTTCTAATGTACTCATTATATCTAAAATATTTTTTAAAGCATGGCTATTAGAATTCCTTAAAACCCGAATTTTAGCAACAATTTTAATAGTTAAATTACTTCGTTATAGCATCGTTAACCTGAAAATGGATGTCCGACCAAGAAAGACAGTCCGGGTCGGAGGCACGTCTCTTACCCCCGTTTAAATTTAACGTACGTCTCTGTTCGGGTCGTATTTTAAGGCGGATATATGTCCAGAGTACATTTTCCGTCTAGGTTTTATATCTTCAATTCATCAAGTTATTTTCATGGCAGTAAAAGAGAAAATAAACCAGAACCTCATGTTTGCCTTGATGTGTCTATTCTAGGTCCGAGAAATAGTCTTTAGCATCAAGCCGGCCGTTACTCAAGTAAAAAACATTTGCCACTTACTTGTGCTACCCCTATGACGTCACCATTCGTATCCTTGATGGGCATACATAGAAGAGATTTGGTTCGGTAGCCTGTCAAGGCATCGACGTCATGGTTGAACCTTTCATCCTGAAACAAAAGACGTGTTGTAACCACAATTACAAAAAATAAAGAAATAAAAATATAATTGTATACGCGTACTTCAAAGTGGGAGCAAAGTATTTCATGAAAGGAAAACATTACACAGGGTGACACTAATTTCTACTGTAAATCTTTTGCAGGATGTTCTTTGCTCAACTAATGTTAGAGGAAGTTTAACATTTTCCAACAGATAGAAGTGTAAATATTTTTTTGTTTATCACATCTAGAAAATTGATGGTTTCTTTCATTCTTATTATGTTGCTAAGTTAGCAATGTCAAAAGCAGCCAATAGTAGTGGCTGCTCGCTTCAATATACAATAAACAAAATAATAAAATATTAAGTTTGCTTGTCGTTACTTTTTGAAATACCCCTGTACCAGCACAAAAAACGATTAGAGAGATATTTCCGCAGCGACATCAGTTTTTTTTATCCAGAGACCACCTTGAACGAGTATATTGGCAACAAATCGTATCTTTATGTGCACAAATTGATGGCTTTGTCATTACTATACATTGTAATCGTTACGAGAGAACAATCGGTAATAACACGCCATTTGTTTGTGTACGCGACATTAACATGATGATTTGTTTATCAATGTACGTATTTGTCGAATCGTAAACCGTTCGCAAAAAAATAAGTACTCCCCAATGCCATCGACGAAAGCATGACGGAGACTATAAAGTGTCTTTATCAGTAATTTTATATTCTTTGCAGGCAACATCATAAAAGTACAAATGTAATAAAAGACACGAAATTCGAGTTGTGAAGGGAATTAATTAAATTTTCGAAGTTGAATTGTGTCCAAAAAATTTCAAAATGTGAAATTTTCCCTAATAGTCCACAATACAGTCCCCTCCTGGAAAGTTGATTACCAGATACTTTATAACTCGTGAGAGGCTTCGTTTTGACGAGTCTTATCACATTTTTCCTCTGCGACTTTTCTCGATTCTCTCCGCTTTTTCCAAAAAAGTCCAAAAACATGGCAATTTCTCGGAATCTTGAAAAGTCAAGACAACATCTCTTTTTTTTTTAGCTTAAGTTACTGGAAATTTTGTTGCAAATGCCGATTTAAATTTGTCCGACAGAAATTCTTCCGACATTGACGTGTCTACCGGCTGAAACATGCCAAAATGACAGGGTATTGAAATTCAATTACTACATAGATAATTTTTAGTAAAATTAATTGTAAATAATTCAGTCAAAAAGTATTGTTGTCCGACAAATTTCAAGCCGCGTTTTTTCAGTCCGACAGCTGGAAATCGGAATTTTCACGGGGTATGATAAATCGATTACCACGTCGGACAAAAATAACACACGATAGAAAAGTGTTTTTTATAATCAAAAATTGTAATGTCCGACAAAAACATATCCGCAAATCGTCAGTCCGACAAAAAAAAGATGAAACAAATTTCGTAAAAAATGTGCACATGTATTTATAATTATTAATAAGGTATTTTCATGTATTAAGCAAAATTCCATATAAATATTTGTTTTTTCGTTTTACTCTTGTAATTGTAATTGTAAATCTCTTATACTCAATTGAGCCAAATATAAATATCGAGAAAAGAATTAAACGATTTCAAAAAAGTATGTATGGTGTAAAAAAATATGCACAAAAGTTTTGGGATTTTCTTTTAGAAAAATAGGAAAATTTTTGTAAAGAAAAATAACAAACGCGAATGAAGACTTGAAAGGGAAGAGAAGAAGAAGCATAATATAAATTTATTTAGAAATAGTGCATTATGCACTAAGATAGTATGGTGGTGACTTGTTGCCCATGATTGTACTATACTGGTTTACTACTAAACCTGTTATAGTTGCTACTACTCATGAAAGTAACATGAGGCGGGAACTTTTAAAGTATTATAGGAGAAAATAGTTTGAACATGTTGAATTTTGTATTTATTAATCGTCTCAAAAATAACTTCATTTGTTTATAACTTAAATTTTTAAGCATAAAATAAGCAATATTATAATAATTTATTTGAAACAAATAATAATTTACATAATAATAATTAACCATTAATAAATATGAAATTTTTGGAGTGAAAAAATTAAATTTCATCACGATTATTGATTTATTGATTTTTTAATAATTTGCGGACATTAAATCGTCGGACACTTATATCACTATTTTGTACAGTTAATTTAAAAGTGGAAAAAATGAAAATTAGATATGTGGTAATCGATTTATCATACACCGTGAAAATTCCGATTTCCAGCTGTCCGACTGAAAATACGCGGCTTGAAATTTGTTGGACAACAATACTTTTTGACTGAATTAATTATTTACAATTAATTTTACTAAAAATTACCTATGTGGCAATTGATTTTCAATACCCTGTCATTTTGGCATGTTTCGGTCGGTAGACACGTCAATGTCGGAAGAATTTATGCCGGACAAATTTAAATCGGCATTTGCAACAAAATTTCCAGTAACTTAAGCTAAAGAAAAGATGTGGTCTTGACTATTCAAGACCCCGGGAAATTGCCATGTTTTTAGACTTTTCCGAGTGGAAAAGCGGAGGAATCGAAAAAAGTCGCAGAGGAAAAGTGTGGTAGACTCGTCAAAAAGAAGCTCCTCACGAGTTATAAAGTATGTGGTAATCAACTTTCCAGGGGGGAGAAGTCCAATTTCTCCCAATCCTTTTATTTTTTAAAAAATGTTTCGAGGTCAAACTTTTTCACCTCATCTTCAGGTCCTACAAGGATATCACAATTACAGGAATCAATTGCAATATCCTTGTAGGACCTGAAGATGAGGTGAAAAAGTTTGACCTCGAAACCGGTAGTCTTTAAAAAAAAAATTAAAAGGATCGTGAGAAAATGGTATTTTCTTCTTATTTCTAAAATAAGTTATAATGGAAAACTCACATTTATCAATTTTGAATATTTATTTTATTTGCGTCAGTTTCTAATAAATCTTATTGGATTTAATTGCAAATTTTAGGTTAGGATTAGGTTAAAACTTAAACTCTTACAGTATTTTAAAAGTAATGCAGTGAAATCTCCCTTGGGCGGACACCAACGGGACCGACTGAAAGTCTCCCTTCAAGAGAGGTGTCCGCGTAAAAGAAATATGAAAGAAAAAACCGGTTTTTTAATGAAAACCGTAATTAAAGAAATTGGGACATTTAAAACGTATATGTATGCAAATGTTTTTAAAATGAAAAAAAATCTTAAAACTTAAGGAAAAAATAAGGACTTGTTACCTTACAAAATACATACAAAATATAATAGAATATAGTAATACATAAAATGAATTGAAATGTCACTTTAATGACGCAAAAATGTATGTATTGTGGTTTGTCTCCTCTTTTTCTTTAAATGGCGTTCAAAAATCGTATTTCTAATTTGAAAAGAAGCTCCAAAGACTCGGTAAAATATTTAAGCTGATTGGTTAGGGTAATAGCTTCACCATAATTTGGAATAGCCTATGTTGGTACTGGAACCTCATCGACATCAGAATCTTCGGAAAATTCTTGTATTTCAACTGGATTTTCAATTTTTAGTCCTGAATCTGAATTTTCAACATACAAATTTTCATCTAGGTTTAAAAAATCATTAAGGTTTTCATTATCAGTCAATTCCAACAAATTCTTATTTTTGGATCAGATGTGATATCCTCAGTTAACTGATCTTCAGTTTGCATATTTTCATGGTTAAATCCTACTTTTCGGAAGCAATTTTTAACTGTTTCCCATTTTATTTTGTTTTTGTCCGTTTAAGAGAATATTTTCTTGTGTCCGCGTCCATTCAAGAGAATGTCCATCCAAGAGAGAGTTAACACAATGCAAATTATATGAGAGTCGTTCGGGACCATGAGAAACTCTCCGTCCAAGGGAGGTGTCTGCGAAGGGGAATTTCACTGTTTTTGCCAATAGATCAATTTTGTAATACCTGCGCATTAATATATTTCAATTAAAATTATTTTATTGTTATATTCCGACGAGCCGCCACTGTCCCATTATCGAATTGTCGCGCCGCTTTGCCATATTTTGACTGCCCAGTTACGATATGGCATAACGAGGTGGTTCGCGGGTGGTCCCTTGCAAATAAAATGGTTATAACTTTTACGGTTTGCTAGTTTGGACGCGACGTCGAAGGTGTATCGCAATAACGAGCAATTTTAGGAGAGACGTTTTATAACCGATAAAACTTTATGCGTCTCTAAATTTACCCTAGAAGGGTTGCGTTAGGCGTTTTAGCACGCAAATGCTTAACGACATTCGCACGGGAGGAATTAACGGCACTTAGCTTTGGGTTTTACGAATCCCCTTATTTTATTGCCAGATTTTATCAATGGCTGTATACACGCAGAGAAATGATTGTTGAAGTAAATACATACAGGGCATCCCAACGAAAATTTGACCCCCCCTATAATTGGAAAACCGAATAATATTTCAAAATTCGCGGAGACCCGTCGATTTTTGTTCTTGGGGGGAGCTTTTTTGACAGTCAAGCCAACTCGATATGTTCATCCCCCTAATGCCTAGCAACCCCAACTTAAAAATTTCAAATGCAACTACCCCACTTGTGGCACATCATTTTAAAGCCCTTTTCATTGCGAATACAGTGACGTACCGTTTTTAGAAATCGGTTGAGATTTGACAGAATTATTGGTTACAAACGAAAAGATGACAAACCAACTTACGCGTAGTAATTTCTACACAAATGCCCACCACTAATAAGTTTTTCATCTACTACACATGACCGCATTACCTAATTGTTATTGATGTGTCTATCAGTTTACAAAAAAGTCAGAAATGAAATAAAAAAGCTGAAGCAAATAATAAATCAGATTTATTTGATGAATTGCTCAAAATGACCCCCGTTAACTTCCAAACAATAATACAGTCTGTTTTCAAATTCTGTTCGAACATTATTAAAGACATCCGCAGTTATTAATCGGCATTCTTCTACAATTCTCTGACGTAGCACTTGCAATGTTTCCGGCTGAGTGGCGTACACTCGTGATTTTAAATGA